TTCGTACAAGATGGTCAGTGGGAGCCTTTAAAACTACATATCTTACTTGAACTCCATTAAAACTTTGCCCCATATTATGGTCAAAATACAATATCCTAGAATTTGACCATTTGATACTAAGCCCTCCTTTTTGAGGGAAATAGGATTGAGACAAGAAGAGGAGCAGAGACCTTTTTTCCTGTGTTTTTAAAGTAAGACTATTAAATATTTTAAATAGTTTTTAAGTAATAGATACACTGCTTTTTCTGTTGTAGATAGATGGCTGGGATAAAGATTCTGTATCAACTAAATCCTGACCTTCATACCCCCTGGAGAAGACAGTGCAAGGCACTTGTGTTAACCCTTTTACTGAATGCAGCTAAAAACCATCATTGTCTAAAACCAAAGCTTCCTTTACTCATATCCATCTTCCTTTACTCACGTCCATCTCCTTCACCACTCCAGTGCTAAGAAGGGGCCATCCAGAGCATAGCTGCCCAAAAGGAAAGTGTTCCAGAGTAGGGGTGACGTGTCCTAGCGTAGACCTACTTATACCCTTCCTCAAAAGACTGCAATTGTGAAAATGAGCATCTGGAACACTAACATTCTATCACTTTGTTTGTGGAAAGAAGGAGAGTTTGGGGATAAACCTTTAGTTTAAAAAGCCAGCATATTCCAAAAATATCCCTTATTTAGGTATCTTGCCTGTTTTAAATTCAGTAGAGTACTAGCTATTTTCTTCTTCATCTGGGACTGTTTATATTCTCCATGTAGGATTGTTTATATCCAGGCCAGTCACTGTAGTGACTAGTGAAATCATGAGTACTGTAGTGTTCCTGGAGGATACTTCTAAGTGATTAGTGGAGTGGCATTATTTCCCTTTCATTCATTTAGTTGAGTCACACTGAGTTAGTCTTAAAGTAGCAGATTCTTGTCATTATCTCGGAAAGATGGATTGACGTTGTTTAGTAAAATACTAGTTAGGGATAAAGAAAATTCTCTTTAGATCACTTCTAAAAGGAGTATATTTGCTGAAGAATGAAAAGAATGCCATTATTAGATGGTTGCCTCAAAAGTTTTTTCCATGGTATGGGACCTAGAAATGGTCCAGATATTTTTTGAAGGCTTGCTTTTCACTGAGACATCTGATAATAGTCTCGTGTTCTATTTTCACTGGAGTAGTAATAATTATTATAAAGATCTACGTACCATTATTTCTGAGTGTTCTTGATATGAGAAAGAAATGCAAAATTGTAACTCATTGCAAATTTTTTTCTTTTCCGTTCTCCTTAGGTATTCTAATCTGATTTTGAACTTATTTTCCTTGATGGTAGATGCAAACATTCCAGATATTGCTCTGGAACCAGATAAAACTGTGAAAAAGGTAATTTTTGTACATCCTCAAATATCACAATCTACTTTTCATATCTGAAAGATATTAGG